ACACCTCCCAAAACAATCATGGTTGCCAGTCCGTCTCTTTCAAGACGCAGTTCCAGGGCTCAGGTGACGTCAAAGTCTTCGTCACCCTTAGCCATGGCAACAAACACATCAAAATCCACGATCCAGCTGCGCTGTGGGTAAAATCAATCTCCACGTCAGGATTTAAGGTTTGCGTTCGCGAGGCAGGAAGTGGCTCAGCAGGTACGTCTGTTATCAACTGGTTTGCATTTCAAGGTTCGCATCAAGGAATTAAATCTGGCACCGTGGACTTCGATGAATGGGCCACAAGAACACAGTGCAAACGAGTATCGATTACTGGTAACCGCAGTAATGTAAGTCTTGTTTCAATTTAGGTCGTGTTCTACATGTAGATTAGTACTTCAACATGTCTAATTTAATTATCAGTTGAATCTAGGAGTCAAAAATAGATACTTTCTACCAAAATTATGCGATTGCGACGAACGAGAATACCTTTAAAAGCAATGCGCATGTCAAAATAGAATCGATGTTGTAATTGTTTTAACGAAAGGTTAGCCTAGCTAAGAGGAGCTTTATCTTAAATCCTCGTCACCAATATATACTGATATTCTCACATTGCTTTACTAACCGCTGTAAAGAAGAAGGTTAAAGTGTGATCCTGGTCTGATTTATTTCCCTCTAATTTATTCACAGGGTTTTAAGAGCAAGCCTCAAATTTTTATTACTGTTCAGCATAAGCATACGGACAGACCATATGATTCCATGAATCTTTGGCTGGAAGATGTCAAGAAAAACGAGTTTCATATCTGTATGAGAGAGTTAATGGCATTTGATGGCATCCATTCAGACCTAAAAGTGGTAAGTTGACAGCAAAATTTTTGTACAACCAAGAAGCACTTATTGCACGTACACTTTGGGCCAATAACCGGCTCTAAATTCACTGCCATCGTGCAAATTGCATCTGTTGATTAGCCTATTACTGTTTGTTTATTTTTTTGGTTTCTTTCGTTGCTGTTTACACCAGCTTAGTTTATATTTCTTTGCACGAAATAGACTGCTTTCACTGCTTGAGATAATTGTAATCTCTCTCTTCCGTATTTTTTATTCATTTTATTTTTCTTTTGTTCTCGCCAGCACTGGTTTGCATACGACACCCTTCCCTCCTACTGGAACTTCACTGAGCGAGGGAAAATTAATTTTGCTGGATTAGGGACTCCATTAAAGAAAAATAACTACGCTTTTTGCCAGGTAAAAATCATTGTTTAATAACCCATTATTTTACTAAAGCTTTTGGTTGTTTTCTAGTGAGACTTTTGGCAAGGGAAAATTGTGAAAAGAACTACGCATTAAGCGGTCACCCTGTATTAAGCGATCGGTTGTCAAAATTCCGAAAATTTTTCCCCTTGATCCCTGTAATTATCATCTCTATTTAGGTGTCACCTCTAGTATACGTTCGTGGTCACCCTTGAGTCCCAACGGCCTGTTTCTATTGTCCTCCACCTTCATTCTACGGTCACCCAATGCCGAACCTCTCAAATAACAATAAGAATATCTCGGAAGTCAAATTTACTCTATGTGTATCTTCCGCCATCACTGTTTGTACTTTGAGTTCAAATGTAGTAAACGCATTGCAGGTTATCTTTTTATCATGCACGAACATCACGCAAGTCAATTGCAGGTCAATAACAAATTAGTTCACGCTTCGCATGCGTACATCGAGTTATGGATGCACGCAGGAAGTTTGGAGAACACGAGAGACGCTAAAGAATTGCTCGAGGCTCAACCGAGAGCTACTCTAGATTCTTGTGCGCTTTCCAAACTTCCCAAGTGCGTCTACATCACCATCTACGCACAGCTAAAGCATGAACCAATTATTTTCTAAGATAGCATAGAGGCACAAGTTGTGCACGAAAAAGAAAAAGAGATTTTATTACAACTGTGACAGGTTCACAAAGTAATCGTGTTCTACCTGAAAATTATGGATGAATGAAAAGGCAAAAACGACCAACAAATATTTCGAGACCAAATCGTTATTCAAAGAATTGTAAATGTTCTGTTCAGAAGTGAAAAACGGACGAATATCTTGCATGTACGAGACCGCATACTGAGTAGATTCAGCATGCTTGAATCCTTGTTTTTCAGAAAATTCCGTAGGTTCGTGTTGAAAATTCTAAAAATTCTGCAATTGTACGATTTTAAAATTAAAATCGCCTATTGTACAATACTTTTAGGAAATATGAATACTTAAAAATAATTTCAGCCGTTCTAAAAATGAAGCGAAAAACTTACAAATTTCTTGCATTTGCGAGACCCGTGTGGTAGATCTACCTTGCTTTAATTGTCGTTTACTAGAATTCACGACTACAAAATTGCGTAGCTTTGTGTTGAATATTGTTCGAGTTCAAAAGAAAATCTTATGACAACACTTTTGGGGCATATCAACACTTGGAAACATAATTTCCTTTTGTAATGAAGAATTCCCAACGTGGCAAAGCCCCAGCTGAAGTAAAAGACTCAGTTATGCACGGCCGTGCGTCCATAAAGATTTTTACCATGGTAGCTCCTTAGGAATTAGGAAGAACTTGCGGTGCGCTATGTTATAACCAGTATCTAGCTGTCAACATGTATTATCAGTCACCCCGTCATTCCCCTTAAGTGACCGCTTCATAACGGTTTGACAATAATCTTATTTAATTAGATAAAATGAATCAGTTCTATTAAAAAGAAGGAAGCCCTTGTAAATAGCACTGACACCGTTATGATAAGTGTTTATGCCTATCGCCTAGTGAGTTTTCTAGCCCATCAAAAAGAGCTGTAAACTATAACTGCTTTTTTTTAATTAAAAAAATAGGATTTGAAATTTGAAAATCCATTCTACAAGCCGCCTGTTGTCCTGATATCCGGAGGTCACGAAAACTCCACCAGTGCGTCGTCGAGTGATTCATATGGTTGTCACAACGCTATGAACGTATGGATGGAGGTACATGTAATATATGAAGATTGCCTTGTCCTATTTTGTCCGGCGTTCAGCTTAGCATTCAATTTTTTTTCCTTGTTGTTTTGCTTTCCTTTTTTCCATTTTATTACATGGTCTCAAAAGATTAGAGCACATCGCATCAGTCAGGCGGTGAAGAGCTATAAATAGGCAATGAAGCTGAAAGAAGTGAAAAAAGTTCCCTAGCATGTTGTCTTTAAAACTTTAAAATTAGGCTCTTATTCAGAGATCAGTCGGGATAACTCCTTTTTAAAGTGATGATATTGAGTGAAAATAATTTGTTTGCCAGTCTCTAACCTTTTTTTTTATCATTATTTCGCAGGAGGTCAGCAAATCGGCGTTTAAGGTTTGTGTCAAGGACAGCCAGGGAATAAGTAGGAATCACGATCCAATAGCTGTCGACTACACTGTCATTGGAGGTAAGCATTAAAGAGAAATTTCGAAAGCGCTTTACTCATTGATTGTTTCAAATAGCAAGGTATGTTTAAGAATTCATGATTGATCAGGGTTTTAAAGGGTTGACACAAGTAAAAAACGTATCAAAAAACCCAATCTTTTCTTGTCTTGAAAATGCTTCTTTTGACGGAAGCTTTGAAAATGGAAAAAAGCTTACTATATTACTATATTTAATGCTATCCAAAGACCTTGACCCGTGCATCAACGTTACATGCGAATACTTTGCTGTCTGCAAGGCATTCGACGCATTTGACGCCCGCTGTGTGTGCGAAGAAAACTGTCCTTCATACGAGGAGCCAGTGTGTTCATCCAACTCTACCACATTCAAAAACAAGTGTATCTTTGAACTGGAAATGTGTAGGCTGAAGAGTAACCATACTCTGTATCATCCTGGAAGCTGCACTGGTGAGACTTAAACTTTACTTATTTGTTAATTTTTTTAATTAGGTATAAATCATTACGATGTTTTTATCAGGATACTATAGGGAGTTGCAGCGTAAATAACAGCAAAATGATATTTCAAGTGATTGTGAAAGCTGGTTATAACCTTCCTTGACATATATTGTGTTCAAGGTCGGCAGTTTTAGTGGTGTTTCAACATGGTGCAATTACAAATGTTATCACGAAATTTTAAAACTGGTGTAGAGAGGAAAAATGTCAAACACTGCTTGCTGACACCGCATAACATGATCTTCTTTATCGTTGCTGATTTAGGTTTTCCTGTCCAGCGTGGGCGAGTTGAACTGAAACGAGATGTTTCCTGGGCTGACACAGCTTGCGAGCTGGTGACCTTCCCACCATTTTCGTTCTATCCGGACAAGCAGGTGCACGTTCAGATCACAACAAATCACTGGAACTCCACCAGGAATAATTTCGTGCACGAAGCCACCGTCTCTTGGGTGGAAAATGTCAATTACCAAAATTTTAAGGCGAGTAATAAATAAAATGACTAGAAAAATATCGATAACGTTAATGTTATTTCAGATTTGCTATCAAATTCCAAAAGCAAACTATAACTTTCGTAACAAGCAAAACAATTAAAAACACATTGCTCTTATTCCTTTGGAGCGTTTCTAGATAACTATTCAGCAGAATCGAAACTATCAACCTAAATAATGCAAAATCTTTGCTGACTGCACTAATGTACTCTTCTGTATATCCATCACTGAAAACCCTTTTTTATTTCATTGTTTGTAAAATCTCTGTCCCATTGAGTTAGTAAGTATATAAGTAAGTAAGAGAATTTATGTTATGAAAGTAACGCTTAACAGTAATTAAAATAACTGACAAACTAGACGCCCTCAAAGTTCAAGTTAGTTTGCATTCGACGGTGTCGCGCAGATATCATTTACCAATGGCGAAGAAGGCGCAAACACGATTTATCTGTTTCTTATTTATCCTTCCTTCATTTATTTGTTCATTCATTCATTTTTTTAGGTTTGTGTGACGACTGCAGGCAGAAATGACCGTGGTGCTAAAGAATTTGCATTCGTTGACTGGATGGCTTACCAAGGTGCTCCAGACGGAGGTGTGGCGGGAAAAACACGGATTCCAGAATGGTGGACCGGAACGAAATGCCAAAAGATTCCATTACCCAATGTGAGGTTCCTTTTTGTCTAAAATGATTATATTTGACAATTTGCATCATCTAGGATAATGAAATAAAAATTATTTTAGGTAATGATTTCTCGTGTACCGTTTCCAGTGAAAATGACCGACTCCTATGAATAGAAAATTTCATTTTCCCCCATAAACAGCTTACAAATGTCAATTCGTTTAAATAAAACCAGGGCAAATTTGCTGCAAAACCTATCGTTCTGGCTACAGCAGATCACGTAAGTTCCGCCTACAAGCACGACGCCGCAAGTCTTTGGATAGAAAATGCCACCAGTTCCTCATTCTATATCTGTCTCCGTGAACTGCAAAATTATGATGGTCTCCATGAAGACATTTTTGTGGTATGTGGACTTTCAGCATCTTGAACCACTCAACGATTAA